CAAAAAAATTTCCTAACTGATTAGTTATTTTAACTGAATCTTTCTCAATATTCCCATTGACTGTCAATCCACGAAAAGACGGAGAATAGGAATGAAATGAAGGACGTACAAAGCGCCATATATTTTGTCCTTGTGAAAGAGACTGAAGATGTTTTACACGTCTTTTCTGTTCGTATTTTGCTCTTTCAGTGTAAAATATCTTTCTAATAGCTAAAAATTCTTTAAGATGAACCAAGAAACGAGTTCTTCTATATTTTCTTCTCTCTCGATTCACAGAACGAGCAAGAGAAACTAGAATAGGTGGCCAAGGTGGCCGATACTGTTTAACAGGAACATATTCGCTCGTTCTGTCACACAAAGAAGCAAGAAAAGATGAGAAAAGAGAGAAGAAAACTTGCTCGTCGAAATTGTATACACACGAATTCCAATACATATATAGACAGGAAAGAATAAAAGTAAAAATTTTCCAATTTGTTTTACGAAAAACACCTTTATCAGATATAGCTACAGAAGATGAGTATAAAACAGGAAAATGATCGGAGGTGCCTTCGTCTAAGGTTTCACATTCCCATCCAGAACTATCATTCGCCACAGCAAAATCGATAATAGAATCAGATTTTTTAGATGTGGGAGTGGAGGAAAAAATTCCTTCACAACCATTTATTTCCATCCAATCTTTCAGCGCTACACCACTAGTATTATTAGTGGAGCACTTCCAGTCACTATGTTTCGCATTGAAATCACCAAAAATAAAAAATTTCCTTGTCAAAAACTTTTCGAATTCAAAAAAAGGAGGCTTGGACTTAGGTGGGACGTATACTGCACCAATAAGGATGGCAGAAAGTGCAACTTCAACCTCAATCAGGAGAAAGTTCTCAACCCTATGTATGACTTTAGACTTTAGTGAAGAATGTATCAATATTGCCACTCCACCAAAAGAGTTCGTTCCTGTTTACGCATGCCAATAATAGTTCGGCACAGAAGGCATTTTACGAATCAAAGATCCTATGCCCGTTAGAATAAGAACATGAGGGAGATGAGAAGAAAGTATATTCAGCATCAGTATTCAGAACCTAACTTTAGTTTTTAACCTGACTAGTTAGTGACGATAACAACATTACTGTATTATATTTAATCTTGGTTGTCAATGAACTTCTATTTGTTTCTCGTGCTCTTCGTGACAACACGTTTAAGAGAAAGCAATTAAATCCTTGAATAGTAAAGAGAAACAAGGATGACAACTTGCTCCAAATATGTGCAGAAGAAACAATACAAGATTTCATACAAACAAACCAGTATAAAGACTTAAGACTGCCAACAAATACTAATACCCTGAATAGATCTTTCTATTTATTTTATATAAACTTAAAATAAATCTTTGTACATTTTTAGTTAGTAGCTGTGTTGATATTTCTTTTTAAACTCTGACTACACTTCGACCAATTAGATCGCCACATCATTGTATGATAATTAAAATTTCCGAGATCTACGCTATGTTTTCTGAGCAACTAGATGAACCAAGGTACATTACATGCTTTTTCCTCCCATGCTCTTTTCTATGCTTTTGGCATAAAAAATTTCGTTTTCGTAATCAAGATCTTTTGCATGTTTTTCTTCAAGATTTTGTCATTCAGGATCAAAAGCATGTGGTTTCCGTGATCATTTCTCATTTTGCCCATGTTTGAGGCATATAAGAAATTCTTTATAACTCAGCTAAAATTCAACATTTTGAGGTTGAATTTCTTTTATTTTACAGAAAATTAGTCCTTCTATTACTCCCTAACAGAAAAAGTCTAATAGTTTCATTTCTTTTTCTGTGCTTGTTGAAGAAGTCAAACTTTCCGTTTTTCGATCAATTTTAATAAAATCGCTTTTTTGTGATAGGAAAACACATTTAAAGCGAATGTATGATGCACGAAAAGAAAGATGACACTTCAGAACAAAAGAACATACATTTCGATTCTACTTTTTATGCATGGCAACGTGTTCGAAATAATTTTTTCGTTGTACTTTAAGTTGAAAAGTAGTGTAGATTAAAATTTCACATTATTTGATGTATATCCCTTTATTTTTAATGTATGTAGAACATTATTCAATGTATTTTTTGTAGAGAATAAAACGTCGAACCTTTAAAAAGAAGAAATAGCTGTGTCTCCTTAGAGAAAAAAACGTTATAGTTAAAATACTGAGAGACTCATTTATTATGAAGCATCCGTTATACTTTGCTCATCTGGGCAACGATAATAATAGCTTCAGCGGTGGAGGGGAGGGGGAGGGATGCGACATTCTTTAGCAAAACCTGACCGTATTCAAACTACACCGTTCGGTCGCTATAAACAAGTTTTAGAAGCAAATCGTACTCCTTATTAAGTGACAGTTTTCGAATTAAAAGGAATTGAAATTTTAACATACCTGCTTGAACATTTGAATTTGTCCATTCTATAGTATCTCCTTTATTCGTTATGTCAAGATAACCATTTGGCTTCGATTTTGGTCCAGGATTTTTCTCACCTATAAACGGGTTGCATTAGCAATTACAGGATAATTGAATAATAAACAAAGTACTTTAGTTGAATTAGTACCCGAGCAAAAACACGATCAGAGCTATGCCATAGGAAGCACACGATTTGACTAAGAATTTAAACATTTTTGAGAAAAAACTTTTATAGTGTTTAGATGGATGAATAATTTTGAGATTACTATCAATTTGTATAATATAGCTTACTTCCCATCAGACTACTTTGAATTGATCCGTCAACAGGTTCGGCACATAGTTCCATCGGATGATCAAAAACTTTTGAAACATATTTCACAATTTCCAATGGAGAATTGTTGTTCACTGGTAATGGGAAAATAAAAAACAAGTGTTTATCTATTGTTTGTTTCTCAATATCGTTATTGTTATCTAAACCACTACGAAGAAGGCCATCCTCCAACTCTCTAATTCGACTATCACACACAGTACATGCATAACGGACCATAGATAGTTGATGGTAGTACCATGGGTCTACTTCATGAAACCGTAGAGAGCTCTTCAAACGGACAATCTTCGGTTGCGAAAACCTCTTTGCAAAACGGATGATGACGTTTCGTCTATGTCTAAAAAATCAACTATTTCTGGAGAGCGCTTAACTCAGACAAGTTCAAATTTTTATCATGGATAGTACTCATACCAAGACAGCTCTGGTAAAATTTAGGCTCATTAACATTTGACTTGACGGAATTATAGCGTAATCAAAAAAACGGCTTTATGAAGAGACCAAACCGTAGGGTATTATTTAATAAAAAATAAATAATTTATTCATCAATTACTTGTCTAAAATATTAGTTAGAAAAACGATTCACGGAACTTTCATCAAAAATTATTTTATCGATAATGCTTTCCGCCCTTGGTTCATGGTTATCCTGCTGAAAGAGCTTTCCTATACACTCTCATGGCGATAGATAGCGTGCCGCGATATTCGCCATTCGAAAGAAGACTGCAGGGCACGTGTACCTATGCACAAAGCAGAGTTTTCCGATCTGTTTCAGGGATTTTCCAAAAAGAGTCAATGTTTGGAAAACTAGCGTGATTTGTCGGAGAATTATTTTTCGACTTTTTTGGTGGACCATATGTAAAAACACGCGTTCTTTCAAATGGTGTTTCAGCAACCCCCAAATTTTTGCTTCCTCACCGAGATATGAGCGTTTTAAAATCGACTAACTTTTTGAAAAATTCCACTTTTAAGCCGTAAAAAACGACTAGACATAGGTAATCGACTACGCTGATCATTGTGATGATGTCAGTTTTTGAGTTTGAAGGCGAAAAAATTCAGTTAAAAAAGTTTTTCGAAAAACCGCATATTCAGCCCTACCGTTCAAGAAACTAACTTTTCGAAAAACTTCTTTAACTGAACTTTTTCGCCTTCAAACTCAAAAACTGACATCATCACAATGATCAGCGTAGTCGATTACCTATGTCTAGTCGTTTTTTACGGCTTAAAAGTGGAATTTTTCAAAAAGTTAGTCGATTTTGAAACGCTCATATCTCGGTGAGGAAGCAAAAATTTGGGGGTTGCTGAAACACCATTTGAAAGAGCGCGTGTGTTTACATATGGTCCACCAAAAAAGTCGAAAAATAATTCTCCGACAAATCACGCTAGTTTTCTAAACATTGACTCTTTTTGGAAAATCCCTGAAACAGATCGGAAAACTCTGCTTTGTGCATAGGTACACGTGCCCTGCAGTCTTCTTTCGAATGGCGAAAATCGCAGCACGCTATCTATCGTCCTCGCTGAGTTATAGCCTTCCTCTTTTCTTTTTTAATCTGATAATAGGTAGACTTAACTTTTTACTCGTCATTGGAAGCTTCATTTTTGGATTAAATCCATGTTTCTTCAATATCTCAGAAAAAGTTCGATCCTTTCGACCCGTTCACATCTCAAATGAAGGTTGCGAGACTATCGTTGGTAGTGGTTGTATAAAATGGGTCGGTCGATTGTCCATCGGTTTTATTTTATTTTCATAGCTGTTTGATTCGATTACGATTATAGCCTCTTTTGGTTTCGACTTAGCTGTACAAAGTTACAACACTACAGTAATACTTTAAGTGGCTCTTATCTGAGAGTTTCGCGCGATGAAATCAGTAAAACGTTCTGCCAGAGTGTCGTATTGCGCAACCCAGTCTTCAGAAGGCACACTGTCGACATCGAATTGTTCGTCGATGACAATAGATACTTCGCTACATGGAAGAAGTTGATGAAGTTTTTCGCCGACGCCACGAGGGTGAATATTGTCATTACCAGGGACGATGAACGTGGGTATGTGAAATGACCGAAGTTGAGCTTCATCCGCGCCAAGAACGGGTTGATCGACGCCGTTGATGAAATAGAGCCTCCAGTTCTGCATCACCGCAATGAAACGGGCAGCGTCCATCGACATCAGCCGTTCACGATTAACGGGTCGCGCCGCGATACACGCTGCAAAGTGATCGGTTTCACAAATCGCAGCCATGCCGCTCTGTTCAGCGATTCTGATGAATTGACCGTAATAGTCTTCTGCCAACAGCGTGCAGCCAAAGGAACCGCCCGTGACACGCATGAGCAGCAGCGCACTAATCACCTCGGGATGCTTGAGCGCCAGCACCAATGCTGTTCGAGATCCCGACGATGAGCCACCAATGATCGCAGGAAATGCATCGAGCTGTTTCAATAATTCATAAAGGTCATCAGCCCAGATTTCGTATTCGGGCTGATCGCCCTCGATCGCCACATCCGACGCACCGCAATTCCGTCTGTCATGAAGTAGTACCCGATAGTCTGCACTGGCGATCTTCTCGGCGAGAGATTGGATTTCGCGCCCTGCTTTCCGACCACCCGGCATGAATGCGATCCAAGGGCCAGATTGCCCAACCACATCATAATGAAGATGGACACCTCGCACATTGGCGATCGGCATGATTGATTTCTCCCTAAAAATTGCAATTGAAAAAATATACTCTACATGAATCTGCACAGTGCGGTGTTTGAGTCAGGATACTTCACTGTTGTTTGTTTGCCAAGCGTGTAGTGATAAGTGGTGTTTCTCTTTGCACAGGTGTGTGACGACTCAGTGGTCTGTACTTCTATTTATTTTAACAGAATGAATCCATCCTACAATGAATTTCCTTCGTTCTCTTGCTCAAATGAAAAGAATTTCGTTATTTCTGAAGCCGCTCTTTGCATTTTTGTCTTCAGAAAGACTTGCTCTTTCTTTCTTTTCTTTTCCTCTGTCTACGAAAGAAAACAAGGATACGCTACGGGAGTTTGTGGAATTTTTACAATTATATAGTCACTGCGCCATCCGGAAGCAACTCATTGCCGTGCTCTCATAGGAAAATTTATCACATACTCACGTTCTTAACCTTATTACAATGTCACAGGAGGCGAACGGCGAATTCGCTGATGTTAATAAACGAATGTCAGAAGTTACTAGAACCTTTGGGGTAAGCGTTTATTTCCTTCTTACCATGTGCAATGAAAAATTGCACAATAAGGTTAAAATGAGAACTTTTGCATTATTCATTGAATATTCGAACAATTCATCTGTCTCTTTCTGTGTACCGAAAGATACAAAGAAGCACATGAGAAATACGCTGAAATAAACAGAATTCTATCAAAAACCAGTTATCGTGATGAATAAGCGCATGGTAAACTGCAACAACAGAATGAATCCATCCAGCAAATACCACCTTATTCTTATGAAATTTGGTGCAGCGCAGCAAGCGTTTGAAACGTTCTATTATTGACTTTTCTTCTCTTCTTTTTGTACTATCTTTAACTTTTTCATTTTTTTCTTTTTTATTTGATAAATAAAGCTTACAATAACATTGTAAATAGGCATTACAATTCGATAATGATTATCAGTTTTACTCCATCAAAATTTTTATTTTTTCTACGTCTAAATGTTTCGTAGCTGGTTGCATCAGATTAGGCTTCGAGAATATTCTTTGGGACACCAGTAGTGTATTTAATTAGAACTGACGTTGGTATTTTTAAAATTTGTCAATGTAATTTTTTGACCATGTTCAAGTAAGCAGGCTGCCGGTAAAACAGCAGAATTTTTTGGTAGATGTATAGTCGGTGTTTGAATGTTATGTACAATAAATATCGCTTTACATTCTTCTTTTAAATGTAATTGTAATGTCACAATGTCGTCTTGTTGTTCAATTTTTGGTAAATCGGTATAAATAGCATTTGTTGCATTAACAATTGCACCTTCATATGGATCATAAGCCCAGGCTCGTTCACTTGCACCTAAATAACCAAAAAATCCCCAGTCTGCGGGTGCTAATAAAAAACCAACACCTAATTGTTTTGAGCATAGTTGATTTATTTGAAAATCAATCGAATATACACCACTAGATAGAGAATCTCGAGTTTGTACTGGAATCCAAGCTAAAATAAACGATAGCAAAACAACAGATAATTCGTTTGTAATCAGCTGCCTACCAAGAAGAAGAAGAGAACTGCAATCTGAAATGATGTTTACGAACGTTGGAAACTCAAGCATAGCATTTCGTCGGGATGGTTTTATCGTTAGTTGATGAATTTGTGCGGTTGCGTCCAGAATATAAGATAATTTTCTAGTGGATGACGGCTGCTGAGAAATTTTTCTTGATGTTCCATCCACAATTTTTGGTGAACAATCGGCCTGAGTCGGATGTCAAAAGAGAAGACCGTAGTGGCCTCATTAGCACACTCTCGAATAAGTCACATCTCATGTAAATATTCGTGTTTGAAAAACTGCGTTTTTTCTAGAAATTGAAACAAAAACGCATTTGGCTGCGTTCAGAGTAAAGCATCTGGACGCAGCCAACATGTTTTTGTTTCAATTTCTAGAACAAACACATCCAGATACTCCACTCTGAACGCATTTAAAAGCATCTGCCATTAACGCTAAACGCGTTTGAGATAGGGCTGGGCAACCTCGCTGACTTTCAACTCCAACTCAACTCCGTTTTCAAATTTCCTACTCCAACTCCAATTCCGCTCAAAATTTTCCAACTCCAACTCTCTCAACAAAAATCTGAACTCCAGTTCAACTCCGCGGCTTGTCCACTCGAGGCTTCGCTGATCAACTTTTGTGAAAAAATGATTTTAGAGTAAAACTGAGAGAAGCACTTCGAATTTAGGCCCTTTTTTGTCCCAGCGTCCGCGCCGAAAAATGATTTTAAAAATTCGAGTCTTTAACCGTATGCCTTCAGTTTTACAACACAAAAGTAGAGTCTGGCGAGCTGCGTCGAATGGCGCAAGGACGAAGTTGCTAGCTGTTACACTTTTTGACAAAAAAGCTCAAATTGCTGTGTCAAAAATGTGCACAGCGTCACGCTTGGCAAGCCGTTCGGTTGTTTCACTTTTGTACGGAAGATTTTTAGGTTTTTAGCAGGATTCTGGACGTTTTTGAGCTTTTTCCGGCAGGAAAGCGCAAAGAACTTCCGAAGTCACTCGCGAATACAGCCACTCAATCGTTTAGAAGATCAGTTTACAACTATTGAATATTTCCAAAAATGCAAAACGAAGTTGAGAATAAATATTCAAAAACCCAACTCCAAATCCAACTCCACCAAAAACATCCTCAACTTCGGAGTTGGGCTTGCCCACCTCTGGTTTGAAACATATAAAATTTTTACATGGGGTGAAGCTGGAAATCAATGAATAATCAGAGAACAGTTATCTAGTTAATCGTACGTCATCGTGCATAATTCTTTCGTAAAAAGAAAAATTCTAGACCAAACTAATGGGTGCTTCATAATAAATGAGTCTCTCAGTATTTTAACTATCACGTTTTTTTGTCTAAGGAGACACAGCTATTTCTTCTTTTTAAAGGTTCAACGTTTTATTCTTTACAAAAAAATATATTGAATAATGTCCTACGTACAGTAAAACTAAACGAATATAGATGAAATACTGTGAAATTTCAATCTTCATTATGTTCCCACCCAAAAAACGGCTTTTTAAGTTTCAATACTTTATATTTTACGAAACGAAAAACAAGAAGTTGGCCATTTTCTAGCTATTAAAAAGCTCTATCAACTGACCATATTCAAACCCTAGTGAATACACTTTTGTACAAGTACTCAGACAAGAACTTGTGCAAGTAATGTCCAGAGTATCTCGAGTTTTTTGTCTCTAAAACAGGTGCTTATCAAGTAATTTAAGCCCACTTAATTCAGTTTCTCTTAAAACACGTTGTTTTTCGGACATACCCACTGTGGGGCACTTTTTTAATATACTTCAAGCTAGAGATCTCGGATTCATTTTGTTTTAAACTAGACCCTAGTGCGTGGGCTGATGAGACCAGATTTTTGAATTAGACCGTAGTTTTCTAGAGATCCAAGATTCTCAAAAACAAAAAATGTGTTCTCGTCTTTTTCCTGTTGCTTTTTTCGGTTCCACAAAACTGGCTTATCATTTCTTATACCAATTTATTCAAGTTTAGCGATGAATGCAAGTGAAACATTGAACGTAGTAGTTTATTTGATGCATATAGCAAACTTACAATGAGATTTGTTTAATATAGCAGAGCTTACATTTCCAGCTTGAAGAAATTGAGAGAAGACAAGAGACATAATAAAAAAGCGTTCAGCGAACGGCGCATGGTACGACTGTCAGTTCGAACCTGCAAGACGAGAGAAAAAATTCTGATTCTGTTCAGGCAATGCGGGCAACAACGTAAGTATGTTGGTTTGTAGTGGTTCGAGAGCTGGATGTTTTGGCGCTGTGAGCAATTGCACAGACGACTCCTGCAATCGGCAAAATGACCATGATAATTAATGTGATCGACATGCCCATAACAGTAGAGGGTGAGTTTCTGACCCTGGACTCGAGAAAACCCCGAGACGGTACGAGATAGCGAGGAAAAAAATTTAAAAACTGCACTTTGATATGACAAACATTTGCTGCATCAAAATCGGATGTAAGACAGAAAAGCTTTTTCCTGAGGGTGGGCTTTAATAAATATAAGTACCTGATTGAGATGTGACTGATTTCCGAATATCTGCATTTTAGCTGAGTATCTAAATACCTAGGATATCTGAATATCGTCTCCAGGATGGTTTCTGCTAGTTCACTCACAGCCACGTAACCCATTTCCTCTCTCCCTTGCAGTCAGTTGACCACGCAAGTACAAAGATATTCAGATACTTATGTTCTAATATCTAGATATTCTCGGAATATCTGAATATCTCAATTGCAGATATTGGAAAATCATACACTAATGACCTGATAAGTAGTTCATCATGTAGCAAGTAACTTGGTAAGTACTTGCAAAATATATGTAAACATCCAAAGTTCTTCCAAGTACTTGGCACGTATCAAATCTAAAAGGCTTGACACGTGCTTGACCAAGTACTTTAGAAAATTTGAAAGTAGCTTATAGTAGTAGTATGTTTCCCTAATGACAATGTTATATAACATGTACATTTTTAGTTAGTAGCTGTGTTGATATTTCTTTTTAAACTCCGACTACACTTCGACCAATTAGATCGCCAGATCATTGTATGATAATTAAAATTTCCGAGATCTACGCTATGTTTTAAAGACTTAAGACTGCCAACAAATACTAATACCCTGAATAGATCTTTCTATTTATTTTATATAAACTTAAAATAAATCTTTGTACATTTTTAGTTAGTAGCTGTGTTGATATTTCTTTTTAAACTCTGACTACACTTCGACCAATTAGATCGCCACATCATTGTATGATAATTAAAATTTCCGAGATCTACGCTATGTTTTCTGAGCAACTAGATGAACCAAGGTACATTACATGCTTTTTCCTCCCATGCTCTTTTCTATGCTTTTGGCATAAAAAATTTCGTTTTCGTAATCAAGATCTTTTGCATGTTTTTCTTCAAGATTTTGTCATTCAGGATCAAAAGCATGTGGTTTCCGTGATCATTTCTCATTTTGCCCATGTTTGAGGCATATAAGAAATTCTTTATAACTCAGCTAAAATTCAACATTTTGAGGTTGAATTTCTTTTATTTTACAGAAAATTAGTCCTTCTATTACTCCCTAACAGAAAAAGTCTAATAGTTTCATTTCTTTTTCTGTGCTTGTTGAAGAAGTCAAACTTTCCGTTTTTCGATCAATTTTAATAAAATCGCTTTTTTGTGATAGGAAAACACATTTAAAGCGAATGTATGATGCACGAAAAGAAAGATGACACTTCAGAACAAAAGAACATACATTTCGATTCTACTTTTTATGCATGGCAACGTGTTCGAAATAATTTTTTCGTTGTACTTTAAGTTGAAAAGTAGTGGACGGATTCACACTCAGATTCAGCCTTGACAATACTACATAGTTGATTCAGCTTTTCAGATCGAGCTGGTCGTCGACTTTTCTTTTGCTTTTTTAGGTTTCACCTCAAAATCTCAGCGCTCATTCTGACATTATTTCCCTTGTTCTTCTTTCAGATTTTCTCCTACTTTTCATGCTTTCTCAAATTTCTTTACTTTTGAATCGATGTTTAGACAGAAAAAATTCAGTTGCATCAGATTTTATCTTTAAAAATTGAGTACTACTTAAAATATTGAGTTCATTCAGAGCTAATATTTCAACATAAATGTGAGCATAACAGCTACTGCTTATAACTATAATTAATTAATAAAACACAGTGTAGACCAGTTAAATTTGTCCGCTTTTTTCTCATGTTCTGTTTTAGATGGAGTCTATTCTGTATTACTCCTCTAACATATTTTTTTTCTTCGATATTTTTCAAACGCCAATTCAAACTTAGCGTGCGACAGGAATATCAGCTTAGCGTCTACGATTCTGAATTTAACTCATTAACAATTTTTGTCTGCACAACCGACGACGCTTAACTGCCCATGCCAACTTAGATTTCTGCAGAAATGTGCATTTTTTGGCCACTCTAACGCAACACCAGAAAACGCATTATCCTTATATGCGTTTTCTTGCGCTGTATTTCTTCGCGCAAAAATCAACAAAAAGCTGTTTTTTTTATCTTATATCACAGAGCCTTTTTTTGCGTCACACTGCGTATGTTTTTTCAGTACACTCTTTGATTAATTTTAAAATTTGACCACGGGGTTTTGTAGAAAAACTGACACGAATTTCTGCAATTTTTTGCGTTAATTGTCTCTCGAAAATCGACTATAGGTGGCTACCTGAGATTTTTTCGTGGGTAACAGACTATTGTAGAGCAAACATTTTGATTTAAAATCACAAGATTTGTTTGATTTTTATTTCGTAAGCTACAAAAAGCATCATTGGCGATGGACGAGGATCCCCACGAGGTCTCGCGATTCTTCACGGGCGGATCCGAGGTTTTTTTGGAGGTCTGACGAGGCAAGAATCTCACGACCGTCGAATTTTAAGCCAATTAGTATAAAATTGGGCGCAATTTGGAACGAGTAAATTTATATTATTCTGCGTTTCCAAATAGCGGCCACTTTTAATTAGTGAGTAATCAACAATTGTAATTTGTAATATAGATATATAAATTAGTCGCCTTTTAGAAAAAAATAGAAGTAAAAACATATATAATTAAATTTGATGACTATATATTTATGTATTATATACGTGGCGCCCTCTCGATTCGCCCCTATTTGATTTCTCAATTCGTCCCTTAAAACTTTTTTCTTGATTCGTCCCTCAACATGCATAGGCTAAATTATTCGGATTTTAAATTTATTTAATAAACTTTGTAAAAAGACCAACACGAATAATTAACAGTATATAAACAGCTACAATCTAAAGCCGTTTAGGATGCTTAAAAAAAGAAGCTCACTATCCTATATAAACTTACGAATATTCAGTAGAGGAGTACTCAAAAATTCTCGGAAAATGTTACATTTCACTCTCACTGAGAGTGGTAAGTCAGTTTTAAATTATAAAGATTATCAATATACTAAAAAACGGGAGCATAAAACTTGGAATGAATGGCGTTGTCATGATAGACGTTGTACAAATTCAGTATCATTATGTTCACAAGACAAATTAATTATTTGTGAAGAAACAGGTCATACAATTCCAATTCCCAAAATTTATTCTGAAGAAACGGTTAAAGCTAAAGTTGAAAACCCTGGTCTAGCTACAGGTACAATATTTCCATCAATCGATAAAATTGATGTCAGTCTTTATCGACGTCGTGCACAAAATTATCCAAAATTACCAACAACTGTTGAAGAAATTAATTTAATTGGAACATCGAGGTTAGATAAGAATGGTGGTGAATTCTTATTAGTTGATGACAAATGTAAGTAATTTGAAATATTATTTCAACAAATCTGTTTTGCAAGTTTTTATTTACTTCCAGACGATGGTGACTATTTAATGATTTTTGGGTCAGAATGGAGTATACGTTTTTTATCATCATGTTTGCTTTGGCATTCCGATGCTACATTTGATGTTCGTCCATTATTATTTGCTCAACTGTACATTATATTTGGTTTCAATAATAGATATATGATTCCATGTGCTTGTGGTTTAACAACGGAGCAAAATAAAATTACACATACTAAAATTTTTGATTTGATTGCACTCTGACAAAAATTTAATGTTATTATGAATCCACAGCGTTTGACATATGAGTTCGAACAGGCTGTTATTAATTTTAATTCATTCAGTAACGTATTTACAAACATCAAAATTAATGAGTGTTTACAAATTGGCATGAGTCGTCATTTTTTTCCAAAGAATGCTAATAGCAACAACAACAATATGTCAGATGCTGAACGTAAAAAGGTAGATCATTGGTTTCTTGGTGCCATTGGTTTACCATTAATACCAACCGACATAGTTGAAAGTACTTGGACGGATGTTATGGATTTATGCACACCAGATGATGTTAATGCTACTGAATTCAATGATTATTTAGTTCAAACCTATGTAGAAAGTGATATTATTTTTATATGGGATTAATATATGGAAATATGTGCATGATGCAATAAATAATGATTTACCAAGGACAAACAATCATGTCGAGGGGTACAATAGTCGTTTGGAAAGTAATTTTTCAAAAGACCCACATATTTATCATTTATTGAATTGTTACGTGATGAACAATGGACATAAAACTTTTTTTAAAAATTTTTCAATAATAGTACATTTACGAGAAAGTTGTATATATGACACAAAATTTTAACATTAAAGAGAGTTACAGATAGTTTGAGTATAGAAAAACATATAATATAATTACTAATAAAGTCACTTTTATTTTATTTTTGCACAAGTGAGTGATTTTTACATTTTTGTTAATACATACAACAGAGAAGATTAGCACAAAAACGACTCAGGAAAGTTTTGGAGTAGTTCAGTCTCCTCCATGTCGTAATATAGAATTGAGACAGCAGAAGAGTTGGCAGAAATCCATTTCAAACATTTCTCTACCACTGAGACACTCTCAAGCATTTGATTGCAAACTCTTTCTGTACCCAGGCCTGTCTAAATTCGTTTAAGGATGCACGTTCAAAAAGCAGTTCACCGTCAACCGAGTCTGTCAGCGTCCCAAGTATTTGTTCCAATAACGATAGCAACTATCTTCTAGAGAAATCTTGTCAAACACATACGAAAAAACATAATTGTTCCAACCTAAGCAAAACATTATTCTTTTCAAACACGTATAGTAAAAATGAGAAAGGTCCTTACACTGGTTTTCTGTAAAGAAAGAAAATAACGGAAACAACCAAGTAAACAGAGAAAAAACATACGACGACAAGAGAGCTCTTCTTAGCGGGACAGACGTTTTACCAGAAAATATAAATGAGTTAATCACTGCTAATCTTTGTCTACTCTTTAACATCGATTTTTTTATCATATTAGCCCATCCTAGTTTTGAACTTATCCAATATCCAAGATATTTAAATTCTTTAATCCAATTTATTTTATTTTCTCCTGATTCAGTTTCAAATGGCGCTGAGCCTATAGCTCTAGCACTCCAAATTCCTTCTGTTTTAGAATAATTTATAGGTTGAACTGTAAGATGAGAATAGTATTCGAGTTGATCGAAAAATAATTTGAGTTTTTTCTCAAGATCTAAACATTGTTTTGTATATTTTACACCAATTTGACCAGCTAATATCGCAGCCAAGTCATCAGCAAAGAAGTGTGAAGAACACCAAGAAAGAAAATCTGGCATATTGACATGATATGTAATAAAAAACGTCAGTGTCAAAATTCCGCCTTGAGGGCCACCCTTTCCAATACTGAACCACATAGGCTTTTTACCATTGATTTCAATGTACCCCTTTCTATTTTCTAGCCAAGCTTTTATCCACCTGATGTACGCTAATGAAATTCCCATCTGTCGAAGTTTACCCACACACCCATCATACCACAACATATCAAAAGCGCGTCTAAAGTCGACAAAAATAGTAGCAACTGGCGAGCTATTCGACATGAGACTGTAAACATCCTCCAGAAACAACAACAACCTCGTTTGCAATCTCAATTTCTCTCTGAACTCAGACTGGTTATTTGGAAGTAGACCTCTCCTATTCAATACATCACGAAATCTTGTTAGAAATAACTTCTCGCCCATTTTTTGGAAAGAATCTAATAACGATATCGGTCGGGTTTGAGAAGGTGAACATATAGAATCTTTTTTTGCTAATAGCAAAATTCTTATGTCTTTTCAGGCAACTGGAAGAATAGTCTTTGCAAAGGAAAGATTGCAGAGTTGAAGAAGAACTAACCAGTGAGAAAAATGTTTGAAATAGAACATGTAATTACACAGACCGTGCGCGTCCAGGAATTTCTTTTCCCTTCTAAAATTTACAGTTTGAAGAAGTTCTTCAAATGTTTCCTCTGGAATTAATTCATTTTTATTCTCAAAATCCGTCCACGGTGCATCGACGTAAGGATATGGTCTAACTATATTATCTGTTTTTCGAAAAAACTCATAAAAATCTGCTGCTATCTCACACATTTTACTTAAGTCTTTTACAACTTCGCCGGGAGAAGAGATGAACGCGCAAAGAGAAGAAGCAGTTGGCTTTATAAACCGCTTTGTTTTTGACCAAAAAGAGACAGAGATTGAAGATGCTGTATAACGAAGCTAAAGTGTAGAAGAGAGTTGACAAGAAAGAAAAAAGTAAAGTTCATTCTTAACCATTTTTCTTAGTACTCGTACTTGATTTTTTAACTCTACACTTTTAGTTCTCAGTTGTCGAAATGAAAGAGCTCTTACATAAGACATAAAGCTTCGTAATTCCGCAGGTATTGCTACTCTGTATTTATTCAGAGGAAAGAACACAGTACAACGAGCTGTAAGAAGATTTAGAAATTGTATGTAATCATTATATATTCCATCTACATTATCTAAATACCAACGCTCTTCCCAAAACAAATACGTATATTCTGTAAACAAACTAAACACTTTCCAATGAACAGCTTTACCTAGGACAGATTGTTTAATTTTTGTTGAGAGTATTGATGGGATTGGAGGATGATCACTAGTAGTACTGCCACTATAAGTTTGAATTTCTACACTAGCACTGTTAGAGAAAGCATAATCCCTAATCCTGTTTGAACGAAGAGAAGTAGAGGTATCAGGTGTAAAAGGAGCTAAGAGATGAGAATCTGACCACTCTAACAACTTTTCAGCTTTACTACCGCCTTGTTCCAAATCAACACTGAAGTCACCGTATACCACACAATTTTCAGACAAAAAAGGAGATAGCTGCTCCCAATTCCATGAATGACTTTCTGGCGCAAACACTCCTAAGATTCTAATCTTTTCTTTGACCTTAATCTCGACAACGCAAACATTTGGTAGCGCACAGTCAGCACGATCGACTTGAATTCCATTTCTCACCAAAACTAAAACACCGCCATTTTTGTTTTCACCTTTTTGAAAGAAAATTCTGAAGCCAGAGAAAGCCTGGGCACAGAAAGAAAGATCGGTTTCGCCTGTTTCCAAAAGTACGAGAACATCAAAGTTGAAAGATGTTGTGAGAAGTAAAACTTCATGCCAACGAAAATCAAAACCACGCACGTTGAAAGATAGGACATAAAGTGAAGAAAAAACAGTCGAGTTCTCTGTAGAAGTACATTTTTTCCAAAAAGAAAAACACGAAGATAAGAGTGGACAACTTTTCCACTCTGAAAGAATACAACAAAGTTCATAGTCAAAACAAGTTAAATTCTTCTTAGCTTTTCACAGAAACTCCTTTCTTCTACAAGTGTTTACAAAAGAGGGACAGCTGAAAAAAGGTACTGCATATGGCGAGAGAGACATCAAACAAAAATTCCACCTTCTCTACAACATCAGGTAAACTGACAACTTCTCTCGTGAAATATTGGCTAGATAAATGTTTCTTACCATCGATCGGAAAAAATACCCTTTTACTCTCCGATTAGTGGACCGGTCAGAGCGATCCAAAATTGTATGAAGATGCGAGTTCTTCCGACGAATTTAAATTCCACAGCACACGACAGACGAAATCCAACCTTTAAGTAGATATTTCAATCACCAACTGAAGAATTTTGTAAAAGCCTTGTACCACCACGTAGCTCTAGACGAAATCGATTGTAATTTATACGAACGCAATAATATCATTCGTCTTGTCTCTCTCGTTCATAATCAACTCGGTGCTCCAGTATTTCGAGAGATGACCATGTATTCGTGGTTTGCTTCCGGTTTTACAAAAGCTGACCCAACTCCCTTCTTAAGTTTCAATCAAGTCTGTTTCATTCACGAAAAAACGCACGTTACCTGTGCAACGTCTCAATGTCCAGAAAGTGTCTTCATTACTTGTTCGCACTGTAGAACGAAACTTTGTTTTCAACACTTTTTCCTCGACTTTTCATGACATTTATTAGATCGTAAATATGTAAGCTCGAAGAAGGATCTGAACAAAAAAAAACAGTGCCTCTCTGTTCTAATCTTCTAGAATGATTACTAGAAGTGTAAATCATGGATGATCTTCAAGTAGTTCATGATTCGAACAAGAACAGTAATTTGAAGAAAGTTTACCTTTCATGTTATTTATTTGTTGTGTAACATTAACAGTAGATTCTCCATAGCTTTTGAATTTTAAGATAAGCAAGTTGAAATCAATAATGAAAACAGAAACAGAAAGGTGAACAATGTAACACTTTGTAATGAAAATAGATACAGTGAAACTTACAAGTTAGGTCTCTAATGTCCTTCTTCATCGCTCAGAAACCTCAAAAACAAGTTTTCCAGAACTTTCTTCACGTTCTTTATCAGGTAGACTAGTCAAAAAAACAACTTCAAAAAAAACCTCTTGTTTCTGCTGGTATCTGGTTTTCTGGAAAACCGGTACTTCCAAGGCCTAGGAGCAAAAACCATGGTCAGATTCGGATTCAAGATCATCGACTGGCTATGCTCCACTAACTTTCACGCCTAAAGCAGTTTGCCAGTTGAGTCTCAACTATGGCTTGCTAAGCTAGTCTTGGTGTTTAATATCCGTGGATAAAATTTTAGACCAATCTAATACTTTGGTATAATAACGTGCCGGCGCTTACCAGACAGTGGCTATATTTTGAAGAAGTTAGAAAAACTTCTAAGTTTTACGTTTTTAAATTAAAAAGTAAGCTATTTTTGAATACCAAATATATCCATCAGTGTGATTTTTCTTTCGACTGCGATGTTGCTCGAAACGATACAACTTAATTTGACGTCAAACAATCGAAAAAACTCAGCTGAATACTTTATTATAAAATTTTATACAGTTCATCACCTGCGGTCTCAGAGTAGAATCGAACGAGATCATAAAACGTATATATTAATTGTTCTCCCTGTTTTAGCCTTTCATGCTAAAATTCATATAATCTCTCTTGATTATGTTTGTTGATTAACCGACGTTTGAGCGCCCGACATTTGAGCGCCGACACTTGAGACGACAAAAAAACGACAAAAAAATTGTTCTGATCATCGTTATCAAAGTGAATAATCA